GCAATAGGGCCAATAAACGTCTAGTTATTCCAATGTAAATGAGTTTCCTACAAGCCATGGGACGTCACTGAAGAGTGTAATTCATCCCGTCTGTTCCCTCTACATATTATTGCCTTGCGGTGGTTTTGGAGAGAGCAGGACTTGGTGAATCTGGTCCCTCTAAAATGCACTTTCCCTCCATGCATCTGGAGCAGTTCTTTGTGTGCCTGAAACCAAAGCACACTTCCATTAACTCCATGATTTCAAACAGGCGGTTCACTTTTCTGATCTATGTAAGGAAAGCTGCGGTCCAGGGAACCTTTTCCCCTTTCTGTCTTTTACTGCTGATCATGAGATGCTTTATTCTATTTTTTTTCTTGTGGGTTTTAATGCTGGGGTTCAAACCTTTTTTTTTTTTTCTTTGTTTGTTTGCCTTGAATGTAGACTTGTGTGTCCAGCCTGTTAGACACTTTAGCCTGCTTTTGGGGCAATGGTGCTGACTTGTTTTTAACCTTTGTTGTTGTTTTTTTTTGTTCTGCTGGATTCCAAACAGCATTGTGGTGTATCTCTGAATGTGCGAGTCGTTTAAACAACGTGGGAAAATTTTATATTTATGCAGATGTACATTTTTGTTTCTTTCCAGAATCTTTTAAATGTATAAAGGCAATACCAAAGTGAGTTGGAGAAGCAATGCTTCCTTTCTAGATGATCATCATGTTAAGTGCTGAAGTCCATGCTTTGCCTTGCAAACTTTCTGGTTATTAATGTAGTTGGAAGTAGACTAAGCTAGTCGCAGGCAGATCAAACTCCATTCATTTCAGAAAAAGCTAACTAACGCTGCCTAATGCTGGTCCCCGAAATACTCCATAGGATCTCATGTTGATGTAAAATGCTCAACCTGATGTTTAACAAGCCTTTCATCAGTTCACCCACCTTTATTTCATCAGAGATGAAGACGAATAAAGTATAGTGAACCTTTGTCCTGTGTTTCATTTGATGTCGTTAAAGTCTCCAAGTTCTTTAAAAACAAAAAGGAACAATTTTGATGTAGAAATGTACAGATGTTCAATCTGAACTCTATAGCAAAACAGTTAAATTTATTATTCCATCTAGGAAGTTTTCTGAGGAAACTCCGGTCAGCTGCATCAAGACACTAACATCTGATACTGAACATTAATACTGAACATAAATGTGACATTAGATGGAAAACCAGGAAGAACCTGAATAGTCACAATGTTGGCAGCCATCTTGGCTCACCTGACTCTAGATTTAAGATGAAGCATACAGAAAAAACACAGAAGTGATGATCCAGGAGTACTTTCAATGTTAAAATAAAGGTGAAGAGTTGACAGTAAGAAACTGTCAGAACATAAGAATTCATTCAGAATGGAAAACTGGAGTACACACAGCTAGTCACAAAACTGGCCCCTCTATGTTGTCTTGGAAAGAAACAGTCAAGTGTATTATAGTGAAACATAATATAATTTCATTATATGATATAATGGATGACATGGAGCTTTTAATGCAATAAAAGCTCCATGTCATTCATTCACCATTTATGAGACAAAGAATCATTGTTATAGCAAATGACAGAGGGCTTCCTGTTCCTGGAAAGGCTTAACAAGCTCTTTAAAGGAATCAAACCAACCGGTGGACAAACCAACCGTTGTTGGTTCGTCCGTTGGTTCGTCCGCCAGAATGAACAGCCAAAGGGATGCGGAATGGTTTCTATTTAAAGAGACAGTCTTTGCTGGACCTGGTCCTGGTGCTCATTTTGGAAAAAAAGCAAATTGGAACTGGAAATATTTGGAGTTCTTCAATGTGAACCCAAACTGCTTGTAGGGAGGGAGGTGATTATTTCAAGATAATCAGCAAAACTTTACAAAATAGACATTGTCACAACATCTGAGTCTAAATCTGACTAAATATTTTCTGTCTTGTGTCATTTGGGCTACCAATCTTATTATTTTGACCATTTTTTTCCTAAATGCTAAAATACTGGTAAAATTTCCCATTAAACTGTCTGACTTTGGGTTTCCTAAGCCACTTTGTAACTATCGAGAGGAAGTAGCAGAGAGAATTTTGGCCTCTTATCAGTTGTTTAAGAACAATGATGAAATATGACGATCAAAATGCTTTGAAAAAATCTCCTTAAGACATGTTAGGCCTGTTTTCTCCCTCTGCAGAAGATTTGATCCTCCACCTCAGACATGAATGAATGAACCTCATAAACCTGAGAGGGCGCCTCCCCTCTCAGGTTCATGGGGACCGTGGGGTCTCAAGTGACTCAAGGATTTCTGTAACTGTGAAGTCATTCTGATTCGGCTGTGCAGGCAGGTGGAGGTTGTTGGATTCAGTTGCAGATGCATGTCTCTGTAATTATAGGAGGGAGCTGCTGCAGGCCAGCGAACACCAGGGATGTTGTTTCAGGGTTTCACCTTACCCCAAACCAAAAGCCTGCAGAGCAAGCAGCTGTTTAATGCGTCGCATTCTTCCTGCCTCTCTGCCCCCAGACAGGAGTTAATTTCCACTGCTCAATGATCTTAAGACCAATCTTGGAAGTGTAGCAGTTGCTCTTTGCAGTGCATGTGGCGATGGAGGAAGCTGTTTGGGTTTCTGGGTGTGAGGATCCACCGTCCACTGCGACGCAGCGGAGCACCGACCATCACCACACAGAGGTCACTCTGGCTGGTTTCTAGCTAGATCAGTTTCTTGGGATTTTGTTTGTTCGTACAGAACCATGTACAGCAGGGCAAACTAATTACCAAATATGAAAAATAGCAGTTAAAACAATCCAACAATGACATTTTTGACATCTTCATATTTGAGCTGGTTTTTCCCAATTAAATGACCCAGTCTCCAATTGAATCTATTCAACCCCTTCATGACACCCATCTTTAATCCTCAGTAGATGTTTGTGCTGTGATGACCAACCAGCAGCCTCCTCACGAATCTGCTGGAAGCCGCTGCAAGCTTCCTCTGTCACCCACCAGGTGGCACTATGCTGTTAAATTTTCCAACATGATGGAGGAAGTATTTTTTTCTTCTCTTTTTTTGTTCAGAATTTTTCAACCTGCATTACATTGGATACGTTTCCTGCATGAGTGTCAGACTGAGGTTATCTATGGCATCGTAATGCAATTCAGCCTTTGACTAGGCCACCACTGAGTGGCTTTATTCCCATTTACTGCTGGTCCGTCAGTTGGTGATGTTGCTCATATAATCACCTGGATCCTTCACTGACCTCTCAGTGACACTGGAATATCTTTTAGCCAGCAGCTGTTTGATGGGACAAGTCATTCCCATGGCGACTCTGATAGAGCTCAGGTTGTAATGAAGTTAATTGGCGAGACACAACACTGTCAGCAGTTCGTTAGCACATCATCAGGACTGGGAATTAACTATGACTTCCCTATTTGATCTGCTGAGTAAGCGACAGTCGTCAGCTTTTCCAGTCCTACAGACATATTTGCTGACATACAGGAGCAGGCAAGGGGTCTGATGCATTAATACCGAGCCCACCCAGCTGGCATTAATGCACATGTGGGAGTTGACCTACATTCTCAGAAAATTAATCTCATAACCTGGAGACCAACTAGAATGACTGAGATAGAAATATGAACACAACTGTGTTACATACTCATCATAATTCTGAATAAATGGAACTGATGGATGACTTTTATTTTTTTTATTGTTAGAATGTTTTGTTTTGGGTGTTTTTTCAGCTGCTACATCAAAACCAAAAGGTCATTCTGTTTCCCTGGTGTTTCTCTTGGCTCCTGTTTGCTTTCAGAAAGTTAGTTTTTTCATTCGAAACAAGAAATAATAAAAGTTGCTAACAAACCAGTTCGTTGCCCAATTTTTTATTTTGGTTTAAAAAGAAAAATGAACATTTTGTGTTTAAAAAAAAAAAAACATTTATTTAAGAACAAATTGCCAGACTGTACACGGACTGTCAGGACTCTGGCAGCAGCATTGTAGACAGCACTGCAGGACTCCAACCTGTTCCCTGAAGAAAAACTGGTGGATATTTATCGTTTCAGTGTTTTTAGAATTTGGAAAAGAGATTAATTTAGTACAATGTGGAAAGAGACCGTAACATAACGACATGTGGAAGAAGTGATGTGCTGTGAATATGCTCTACCCATCTGCTTTTGAAGGTAACTGAAGTGGGAGTGAACTGGAAGAAGACAACAGGAAACTCCCAGAATTTAAGACAGCAACCCTGGTGTCCCATTGTCCCTGGTGTCCATGTTGTCCCATTGTCCTTGTTGTCCTGGTGTTGACCCCATCAGCTTGTAGCCAGGCAGGAAAAGGGAAACAGGAGGTGATCATCTTAGATTAGCTGAGGATAGCAGGATTGTCCCACCCCTCTTTGAGCTGCAGGTGGAGTCGTGATGTTTTGCTTTAGCTCTCCACTCTAAGAGGATTTGCTCAGACTGGAGGGGATAGAAATAAGAAGCTCAGACTGCATAAAGTCCTGTTAGTGTTGCAGTTATTGCTTAAAAATACTATCAGTAAAGATAAATAACAGTTTGCTAGTCATAGCTGGACGAGGACATATTGCAAACAGATAAAAGTAACGCAGGGTGAAATTGAATTTTTTTCCTGTTCAATTCCCGGCCTTATGCATTAACATTATCATTGGGTTTTGCCTCACTGTTTAAAGAGATAGTAAGCATTCTGTATGCTTTTAAAGACATTAACAAATAAATCTTTGATATATTATTTCCGTCAAGCTGATAGAAATCATTTTTGCGATTCTAAATGACCTAAAGCAAGGAATTTGGTTTGATTTAGCTTCAAAGATTGAGAAAAAGAGGTGTCTCTTTTTTTTTGTTTTGATTTTTTACATATGTAAACATTTGGTTTCAAATGGATATAGTGGCAAATCACAACGACCTGGACAAGGTTCTCAGTTGAGGGAGGAGAAATGTTCACTTTCTCCTCCTCCTCTCATCTCCTGCTGGGAGGTGTCACTATGATAAGGATTTCCTCCACCAGCAGAGGATGAACTCAGCAGAGCGAGGAGACGACTTCGATCACTGAGCTTTGCTGGGGGACGGACTGCGACTCCTTCCTTTGTGTGATTTTCCGGAGGGGAGTGTTGCTGTGTTTGGTGTGAAAGAGCAGGATGGAGTTTAATCAGAGCTCACCCTGAATCCTCAGCAGTCACAGACACTCCTCATCATCATCTTCTTCTTTGTCATCATCTTTATCATCGTCATCATTGACACTCAGGTAAATTTCAACTGCTGAGGTCGTTAAAGTGAAGAAAACTACTTGAGTCTGGGGCTTAGCAAGTCACGTTGGTCTGAAAATCTAATTTTAGTTTCTGTAATCTGGGAGAAAAGGATTTCAGTGAACTGCACTGTAGAGGCTTAATGAGCTAACGTGACCAAACACAAACTGTTCCTGGTTTTATTTATAATTCAGACGTGTCATCCGCACAATCAGTTTGCAGACATGAGATAAATGGTTCCTAATGTAAAAGCTGAAAAAACCTGAATGATCACGGTGTTTGTTTGCCAGACCTGTGTGACACAAAAAGACTTCATGTATATATGGCACTGAATCTTTGTTTTTCTCTCAGTTGGACCTCAGACAAAACCTTCCTACCTAATTCGGATAAACAAAATGACTGATTGCATTATCAGAACACTTACACCAGATACTATCTCAATTGTCTGTGGCACAAGTCAGAAGTACCATTGTTATTTCCTAAAATAGCAAAAGTAACAAGTCAAGCCACAGATTTTGGTGCCTATTTTTGAAAAAAAAAAAAAAGCTTTCACGATGAGAAATTGACTCATGATTAATATTTCTGACTGTGTGCCAGTCTAACTGTCCTGTGTTACAGGATGAAGCCCCAGCAGCAGGCAGTAAGAACAGGACTTCTGTCCAGGTAATAGCAGATAAAGCCTCACTAAACAGTGGATTATGGGATTCCATTTGTGCCAAAAATATGTTTGTGTGTCTGTAGTAAATGATGAGATATACCATTGTACTGAAATATTGCAATTTGTCTTTGTGTCATTTATGAAAAAGTATGTATACATTTTGATAATGAGTCCTCAAAGTTAATCTGAAGCTGGAAGCTGTTGTGTGCTAAAATCTGCAAATCCTTGAGATTACCTCTTAAAATGCTTATAATTGCCATTTTAATAATTCAAACACCAAATATACCTGAAGATGCATTAATACAGAAGAAGATGTCTTGGCACTAACATCCACACTCTTCCTTATATTGGGAGTACAGCCAATCACAGTACTCACCATACTAATTATTAATATTAGTTGGCATTATGAGAGACCCAATCTCACAACATTGAATATTTTATTTTATTCCAACTTGCAATGAGACAAGAAACAATAACTCATTCTTTAAAAAGAATAAGGTTTCTTAACCTGCAGATGAAGATTACTACTTTCAGGAGGCTTATTTGACATGTGCCATCACAACAAGAGTCTCAGGCAAGACTCACTATTTTTCTAAACAGCCAATAATTCTTTTGGTTCTCTTCTGAAAGGCTTTCAAACATGACACGGTTTGGAAGGAGCGCCGTTGGTCCTGGAGAATCTGGCCTCAGGAACCAGAGGACAGATCGGTGAGCTGTGCATTACCACATAGTTCTTCATATGTAGCTTAGCATTTAGCCTGATGCTTCTCACTCTATATGCTGGGGGACTTTATCAAAATGAATGAACTTCTCCATTTGCTCCTGTTGCAGGGAGAAACGGTGGCCCCTAGCTGCACAAAATACAAACAACTCCAACAATAATGATGGGTGAGTCACAAATGATCTCATAAATTTATGTCAGATTAGCTGATATAAATGCCTCTTTAGAAAACTTTTTACTCATACGGTTGTGAAGAGCATACGTCAGCAGATGGTTACACCGTCCTTTTGCCAATGCTTCATTTCAACCTTGAATCAGAAAGTCTGCATAACAGGGACGGGTTGTGGAGTTGACCATGAACACGTCTACATCCCAAAGTTCAGGGCAATGAAAAACACAACATCTGCTTTCAATTCTTGGTTTTATGGATGCATTAAGAGGTCCAAGGTAGACTTGCTTTTTCTTTTTCTTTTTTTTTCCTTCAAAAATATTTTCCCTTTCCAAATTCTAGAATATCTGTTGTTTAGTTTAGTACAATGGTAAGTCTGGAATCATGGAGTAGGGAAAAAGATTTCAAAAAGTATCACCTCAAGCCCCGATCCAAAGAAATTCAAGAACAAATCAGACACATTCATTGATAACTGTGTGTGTATAAAATGTTGCGAAGCCATTTTTATGACTTTTTAACACTTTGGCACTTTCTGGCCTTTTGTATTCCAGGAATATACGATGGGAAACATGAAACTGTGATGAACCTTAGAATGAACTTTTTTTCTGTCAAAAAAAAGTAATTGACAGTGGTAAATCCTGAACAGATTCGTGTCCAGTCCGCCAAGGTTACCGTAAGACAGTGGTTCCCAAAGATTTTCTGGGACCCCCTCCCCCCCTATTTAGATTACAATAAAATCCCCCAAAAGAGAGAAAAAAACAAACTGGGCACACATATTTTCAACCATCTTTACAGTGAGACACTTTTGTGTAACTGTTTTTATTTTTCATTCATCCATACTCCTTCCCGTGTTCCTCCCTCCGGCCCCCCAGGGGACACGCCCCGCACTTTGGGAACCATCAGCAGTTTATGTAGGAGGTTGGAGAAGAACTTAGTATAACATATAAAGCTCTGCAGGCCTCAAATGTTCATGATTCTACAAGATTTTGTCATCAACAGACACTGAACATTTGTTATTTTTAAATGCACATGGTGTTCATATGAAATACATATAAACTAAAAAGTTTATGATATGATCATTGGCTCTGTGTGCAATTGATCTATATGACATATCAGATTCATATTTTGAATTGAATTGATGAGATGAATCATGTGAAATATGTACATGTAACACTGAAACAAAAAAGTATTCCCTTTACTGGTCATAATGTTATCCCTGATTTGTATTCAGAATCACCAGTCTATTCAAATGTGATATTCCTCACTGACAAGGCAGAACAAGTTCCCCTAATCTGGCTTTTTACAATTGTTTTTTAGGAAAAAGGAGGAAAAGAAAGATGAAAAAAAAGATGAGAAAAAGGACGAGAAGAAAGATGATAAGAAGGATCCGAAGAAGGATGAAAAGAAAGATGACAAAAAGGATGATAAAAAAGAGCCACCGTAAGTGGCAGCTTCTTGAATTTGAGTGGTACACCAATGTCCTCATGAAAGGTTAAAGATATTTACTGTATGTCAACTGATGCTCTATTTGTTATAGAGCATCATATTTGTTATAAAGTCAAGCTTTGTGGTTTTGGTAATGAAGTTGTTGTCTACTCACCATGGCTTATCAACCAGGAAGGAGGTGTGGATCATGGATCCTGCTACCGATACGTACTACAGCTGGCTGTGCACAGTCTCCGTGCCGGTCTTCTACAACCTGATGTTTCTTGTGGCAAGGTTTGGGTTTACGTCATTTTCTAAATCAATTTCATATATCATTTTATTTTCATTCATTATTGTCAACTTTTTCTTGCTAACTTTGCTTCCATGTAGGGCATGTTTTAATGAACTCCAACATGCTAACTCAACACTGTGGTTGGCTTTGGACTGCATTTCAGATGTTATCTACTATGTAGACACCTTTGTGAGAGCCAGGACTGGTAAGCAAAGGCAGAGTTATTTCTTTCAGCTTTTTTGACAGACTTCCTAAAACTTGCAATGTTCCAACAGGTTTCTTGGAGCAAGGACTGCTTGTGAAGGATGCAAAGACGCTAAAAGAGAAGTACATGAAGACCCGGCAGTTTAAGTTAGATATGATATCCATCATTCCTACTGACTTTGTGTTTCTTCATATTGGAATCAACAACCCAGAGTGGAGGTTCAACCGTCTCTTTAGGTTAGCGCGACTCTTTGAGTTCTTCGACCGGACGGAAACTCGAACTAACTTTCCAAACATCTTTCGAATTGCAAATCTGGTACTTTACATTATCATCATCATTCACTGGAATGGTTGCCTATACTTTGCTGTCTCCAAGGTTCTTGGTTTTGGTTCAGACACATGGGTTTATCCGAACATAAGCAATCCTGTACATGCTCGTCTGACCAGACAGTACATCTATTGTTTTTACTGGTCCACCATGACCTTGACAACCATCGGCGAGACCCCACCTCCAGTCAGGGACATAGAGTACTTTTTTGTTGTAGCTGATTTTCTCACTGGTGTTTTGATCTTTGCAACAATTGTAGGCAATGTTGGTGCCATGATTTCCAACATGAATGCTGCGCGAGTGGAGTTTCAGGCCAAGATTGACTCAATCAAGCAGTATATGCAATTTCGGAAGGTCACAAAAGATCTGGAGGCAAGGGTGGTGAAGTGGTTTGACTACTTGTGGACAGAGGGGAAGTCCTGTGATGAGAAACTGGTACTAAAAAATCTTCCTGACAAACTGAAGGCTGAGATAGCCATAAACGTCCACCTGGAGACTCTGAGTAAAGTGCGTATCTTTCAAGACTGTGAAGCAGGTTTACTTGTGGAGCTGGTTCTGAAACTTCAACCTCAGGTCTTCAGCCCTGGTGACTACATCTGTAAAAAAGGGGACATTGGGAGGGAAATGTACATAATCAAAGAAGGAAAGCTAGCTGTTGTGGCAGATGATGGGGTGACACAATTTGTTGTCCTCAGTGATGGGGCATATTTTGGAGAAATCAGCATCCTTGGAATAAAGGGCAGCAAAGCAGGAAACCGGAGAACTGCCAACATCCGAAGTGTTGGCTACTCAGATTTGTTTGCACTATCCAAAGATGATCTAATGGAGGCCCTCGTTGAGTATCCTGAAGCTAAATATGCTCTGGAGGACAAGGGAAGGGCCATTTTGATGAAGGATAATCTCATAGATGAGTCACTGGTAGCTGCTGTTGATGCCAAGGATTTGGAGGATAAAGTCAACCAGATTGAAGGCAGTGTGGACGTCATGACGATCAAACTTCAAAAGCTTAGAAATCAATATGAATCCTCTCAACGTAAACTCAATCAGCGGCTCACTAACTTATCAAATGAGGTCAAAAGCCTCAGAGTTGATGAGTGATGTTAGCTTGGAAACTAGTCTACAAAGAGATAGTGAAGGCTGGTCATCTTTGGCACTGTAGAACTTTTCTACTCTCTAAATGAAACAGTTGGACAGTGTTTCTACTCACTATCCCCATACAAAATATTCTAAAATAAAAATGATGCCTTTAAAGTTCTCCATTGTGTCTTTCCAGTTGGGCTCATAAGGTCTACAGCCACTGAACACAAAAGCAATGCTAACAGAACCATGATAAATATCACCCAAACCTACTTTATGACTTCAAAGTTTAAAAAACAACAACCTGTAATGACAATAACATTATGCTATTCTACATAAAATGGTCAGAAAAGACAGAGATTAAGTTACTATAACTCAATGAAGAGATGAATCCATAATGAATGTCTAACTCTATACTGATCAGTTGACGTAGCCTAATGTGACATTTGAATTCCTACCTGATACTGCCATCTAGTGGGGCTTTAATTAAGGCCATCAGATTAAAGTACCCATCATATTTTGCAGATGTTCTTTGGAACTGTGTAGGATTATCCAAGGAACTACCAAGGAACTACCTTGCCATCTTCCGGAAGTTTCTGAAGCTCCACTGCCATGACCAACCAAAAACAGGGTTCCACATTGAAAATCCAAATGTCATACAGTGACATGAGACATGATGTCTGTTGAGAAGAGTCAAGGTCGCGCATTCGTATCTCAGGACACACTGTACCAACATGTGGGTACATGTTGCCAGCAGAGGCATCAATTGTGAGGATGCTTGCATGGTACAAAGTTACTGAAATATTGAAGGTCAACATTGCTCAGTTTTATGTAAGATCTATCCAATTATCTTAAAATTACCCCTATACCTGTCGGATTTAGAGGCAAACATGATCTGGAATTGACATTTGCCAGAGGTATGAGTAATTTTAGGTTGGTTTTGGACAGAATGCGCAGACCAACATTAAGATTCTGGAAATGTCTTCCCAGAGTCAAAATTTCAAATTTGATGGACTAATCTTAAAATAAAATGGTCAACTGATTCCTGGAAATAGCTTCAGACATGTGGTGAGGCAGAACCTCAGAACCTGCTGGGGACCATATTATGGGTTTATGTATAAATTAGAGAACATCTTGTTAAACTGAAGAACTGAAAAAATAAAGATGGACAATGTTTGAAGACAAAATGATGTGCATTTGTACTGTTATGATACATGATGATTGTCAGGTCCTCATACTAATTGGTAAAATATAACAAGATCTTTTTCATAGTTCCTTTTATTGTTTCTGCCTGGTCTGTATGCAAACAAAATGACATTTACATTCATAGTAATTTCTTTAATGGTTCATAAGGAAGTGGCTCATATAGTTTGTTTCGATGATGCATTTCTCACAGCATACATCAGAGATCCAAATACAAGTTGAAACACCTTCCCCAGATGAACTGCTGGGAAAGTCACCATGGAGCTTTGCCTGAGACTAAGTGACTTTGATTTTCTGACAGGTCAGCAAACCTTTGGTAGGGTTCTTCTACTCATAGTGGTGCTTGTATCCCATAGCAAGGAGCGAGGATGGTGTTGAGCCATCCCACTGCTGACTAGAGTCCAAGAACTAAAGACCAGAGAAGCCAAACTGTTGAGATCTATTGGTATCTTCTTGACTCTGCCTGTGCAGAAGGTTCCAGATAAGCTGCTGCAGTGTGAGCCTCCTAAGTGTTTAGCGATAAAACTAAAAGTGGATGCAACAAACTATGGAGTTTTTACCTGACACTTAGTAAATGAATTGAGCTGGAACCAGATATTTACATACGCCACAGCATGAAACATCCAACCTTTTCATTTTCTGTCTGACGTCAAAGCAGACAAAGCTGTTGTAGGGCCATCAGGATTACCTCAATTATTTCTATTTGCTAAATATGTTTATTATATAATACACTAAGATTCCCGTGTCTTTAAGCTATTTGGGATATAGTGCAGATGAAGTTTCTGATGTATTTTAATATTTGATCTCAAACTGATTCCTTGTGTGACATCATTGCAACTTAAAGAACACAGCCAGGAAATTAAAGCGGTGAACCTAAACAAGTCTGGTTCATGTTTGAGATACCTGAAGGTACCACACATCTGCTAAAACTGTTATATGCAACTACAACAGCATGGGAGTGTCTCAACGTCTCACTGTGGAAGAAGATGGGTTTTGTTTCCCTCTGATGAACGGGTGCTGGTGTGAAATGTGTGAATCAACACCAGAACAGCTAAAAGTGACACAAGTCCTGTATCAAGATGGCCTCAAACGCACTCAAAAAGCCGCAACTGAAAAACCGAAGTGAAAAGCCAGATTACGGTTTGTAAAGATGCTCATAAAGGGACTCATTTCTGGGGGTGTCCAAAAAAATGAAATTCCCCAAAATGTCATTTTTGAAGAAGCTAAAACTGATTAAATTAAAGTCTGTGTTTTGTAGTGTGTATAACAGCCTGAGCTCAGACATAAGAAAATTTGTGATCAGAGCTGAAAAGGTGTGTAATGAACCTCTACTAAACCAGTTATGCGAGGAGCTAACTGCCGTGAGAAGTTAATGGAACAAAACCTTCACCTGACTTGAGCTTAAAGGACAATTATACCAAATCCCGAGGAAACAGAAGAAAACTTTGAAGAATGTTTCCCTACGCTATTAACCAAACAAAAAATTTTTTTTATGAACCTAACCAACCCAAACAGGCGTTTAGGTTGAGTTTTATTCATTGTCACAAATAGCTAAAGCAGGTTGTGTTTTATACACTGCATTTGTAAATATCTGGTTTCCCTGGTAGGTTGGCACATGGAGAACATCCTCTTTAGTCTACATGTGTAGATGTTGTACAATATGGTGCTGCAGTTTCTACTGCACTCATATATATAAACACTGTGTTTATTTGGAATTGTCAACACAGGAAGACAAGGAAATGAAAATCTCCAAACAATCATGGCGACCTGTGGCCAAGAAAGAAAAAAACAAAACATTCTGAAAATGTCTAAGTGCACTTTACACAGCTCTGATCTGATAAGATTTGATTCTAATCTGTGGTGTAACCCCATCCCACCAAACCCCGACCCAGAGCAAGAACAAATGCCCAGAAACAAACTTGAACAGTAATTTAGATGATGTGCCATTTTGGACCAAAGGACAGTAAATTTCCCAATGCTTACCTTGATCTGAATTGTGTTTAAGCAACAGTAGAGTGGAATGGTCAGTGAAGCTCTTTCTTTAGTGGGCAGCCTTCAATCATTTGTTAGACCAGGTTATCTTAGCATCCTGTTTTTATTGACTGGACTCTGTCCCCCTTTTCCCAGATTAGGGAAGCTAACAGGCAGCCATGAGATAACCCACTGAAACGTAAAAATAAATAAGAAAAACCATCCTCTCTGTACATGGAAAACCCAAAAGGAGGCTGCGACACATTCACATACTGTGGATGTGGGAGTGGAAAGTTCAGGAGGCCTCTGTGCTTACACTGACTGATGGAAGATGATGCAGGCACGGCAGCAAAACTACTAGAGCGCTCAGTTGGAACCGTTTGTCCTCTCGTTCTCCTCCTGGTCTGTGTTGTCACCGTTTGGATTGTGTCTGATAAAGGAGGGGCGGGACGGGGCGGGGCTTCATGGGCTTTCTGAGAAGGAGTCTGTTAGTAGTGGGGGCTCAGAGCATGCCAAACCCTTTGGCATAGGTGATGGCTTTCAGCAGTCTCTCTCTCAGCTTGTCCTTGTTGGTGTATTCTGGCAGCAGCAGCACGTTAAAGCAGGTGTGGGATGTTGGTAACCTGCAGTCAGAAAAACAATACGGCAGGAAGTTCAGGAAAAACTAAGATCTAAAGAATAAAAGAAGAATAAGAACACCACCATTAGGAGGCAAATGCGCCTCCTACTGGTGATGTTACAACAGTAATATTTTAAGCTCAATACTGATCCTAAGAAAAATATTTTGACACCATTTTAGGGTTCTTTCTAGTAAAGAGCAAAAATATAATAAAATGCAATGAGTACAAAACAACTCAGCCCTTGTTTAGAAAGATATATCATTTAAAAATTTCATTTTGACAAAACAGCTTAAGTGTCTGTGTTAAATAATGTTAATAACTGTACTATACTATTTTCATAAATTTACCCCTCACTCTACAGTCTCTGTTCCTTTATATATTTTTAAATAAGTCTACTACCTTTAACTAACAGCTGGTTAAACTGAACCTCCTCACTGTGGGACATTAAAGAATATTTCTCTTCAGGAAGCATGTGTCTTTGAGCCTTTTATGTCATTATTTTTGTTATAACTTTATTTTTGTCTGTTTGAATTTGCCAGTTAATGAATTTACAAGTCGTAACTTTGTTTTAATGGTGATTATGCTGAATATTTTCTTCAGGCTGACTGAGAATGTGAGGCTCACTCAGTCTCACATTCTGACTCAGCGAGATAGGAAGTTCTCCTTCTGACCAGGGGAACCTTGTGTAACTGATCGGCAGCCTATTGGAGCAGGATGGCTGTCATGGTGACACCTCACCTGTCTGTATCCGGACCGTTCTTGGCTATGATCATCTTCAGCTTGCCGAGCCCGCCCACAGGCGCTCTGTCAGTACCAGTGGTGAACTGCAGGAAGAGGCGCTTCTGCTCCTCGCTGAAAGAATGCAACGTCTCCCAGAATTCCCTGCAAGAGACAAATCCCACAGTCAGAACAGAAGCTGTCATCACAGCTTGAAATCAACCGCTGGAAAAAAACTCTTCACCTGCTGGTTCCTATCACATTCTGCAGGTTTATGATTTAAGTTCTCTTAACCAAACGTAGTGGAAAAACTACAGAGTCTCCAGCTTAGAGTCACTAAACCTTCAGGTTTACATCAGAATAGGAAGGAGTAAGAGAGGAATGAAAAAAGCAAATAAAAAAGCAAGAAAGAAGGTACAGAAAAAGAAAAAGGAATGAAGGAAAGAAAAAAATTAAAGGAAGGAAAGGAAAAGTTCAGAAAAAAGCAATGAGAAAAGGAAAGACAGGGAACAAATTGGGTTATGGTGAAAAGAAGGAAAAGTGAAGGAAGCAAGCACAAAAGGAAGGGAAGAATGGACACAAGGAAGAAAGTACATATAACACAGTCCACATCTTTAACACAATAATAATGCAGACCTAGAAAAAAAGTTGCTTTCTTACTTAATAATTCGAGAGTCTTTGTTATAACCGCCGTCGTACTCTGTTGTTTCCTCAAGAGCTTGAAAGTCCAGGTTCTGAAAGAGACAGGAACTCAAACCCAGATTCTCAGACACAATGAAAACTGATTCCTGACAGATGTTTCCGGATCTCACCCTGCTGCCGCAGATCAGGAGCTCGATCTCCTCTGGTCTGAACAGGTACTTCAGCGGCGACTCGTTGGTGACCATGTGGAAGCCTCTCCTGAACGCTTTGAACTGTTTCTCAACGCTTTTGTTTAAAATATATTCAGAATATAGAGCTACAAAGTCCTGTGGAAACATACATCATCAGCAGGTAGTAGCAGAAAGTGTTACAAGGGTGGCATCAGTTTGGCTCACCTTTCGGTTTTCATTCGTTACTGGAATCTTCTCCCCATTTTCCCTCAAATCGTACATGAGTCTGTTACCAAACGGGTCCGTTTGGGAGATCTGGAAGGTGATCATCATGTCCTCCTCCACATTGCCCTCGTACTCCACCAGCTCCTTCAAACTCTGGTGCAAAACCTTTCAAAACACAACTGAATGTCAGCAAAACCTTCAACTCATCAACTCCTGCTTGAACCGATCCTGAAGTGAAGCTCACTGGATTAGCATCAGCCAAGTCCCTGAAAGTTCCTTTCTTGCCCATCAGCTTCCTGTAGACGACCATGGGAAAGTGCACATCCAGGATGCAGTTGTTATAGATGGCCAGGCCAAGGACAATGCCGATCAGCGTGTACTGGCCTTCATTTTCAAACGACGACGAGTTGAACCAGAACAACCTAGTGTGTTCATCGTACGTGAACATGCCTGAACGAAGGAAAAACAAAAACATGACCGTGGAACAGAAGCATCCTCATTTGAGTGAGAAGAATTTTGTGGAATTAGTCCAAGTCTGTTTAGACCGTCAGGGTAGCATGTGGGTGGCACGTTGACACTTGTTGGAATTTCTTACCAATATCAGGGTTGAAGATCTCCTCCACTACCAGCTGGAAGAACTCTTTGGACACTCC